ATGGTCTTCCTGCATGTTTTAATACCTGCTGGATCGTGTTTCAGAAAGGTTTTTGAGACTACTAACATTGCTTTCTTTCCGATTTTTATTTTTATTGTTTGCATTCTGTTTCGTGAATACAACCAACAATATTACTTTTACCAATTCAGCCGTTAACGCAACAAATGTTTCTTAATTTAAACCGCACTACATGTTTTGACCCTTGATGTGTCATCTTCAGCTGCTCTTAGTTAGACGTCTAATTATTGAATTGTAGCGCATGAACTTGTTTGCATATTTCTTATAATTGTATTAGTGTTAAATACTATATTCCTAGTTTACATACATAAGCCATAAGGTGGCTATATTCTATGTCTACCTCTTACTGTTTACTTATACACTGCTTAGTGTATATTGAATTAAATTGGGGTTAGGTATGAGTTTTGTGTAAATTTTTTTTTAATTGAGTTAAAATTTATTTAAAATGTATTTAAAATATAAACGTGTGATGAGCTGTAATCGGCTTCGTGTCATCTTACTTATCTTCGTGACAGCCTATTCCAAAATTCTACTATATTAGTTGCTTTAAACCGTTTAAAATTTCGCTTAGTGTGGGGTGGAGTCCAGCTGGGTCCACTTGGCACGGCGGCCACTGATTGGCCTATTATACCTGGCCCGAATGATTATGATGATGGAGAATTTGGTGGAATGAAGATTGGCAGGGGAAACCGAAATACTCTGAAAAATCCCGCCCCAGCGCCACTTTGTCCACCACAAATCCCACTTGACCAGACCCGGGATCGAACCCGGGCCGCCGTGGTGGGAAGCCAGGGACTAACCGCTTCAGCTATGGCGCGGCCCTGCTTTAAACCGTTACGTTGTTGTTACAGTACTATGTTCTGATCCACAGAGAGCGAAATGGAATTTATTTCTTCTTCGGTATGCCGCTAGTTAAAGTTGTTCCTGTATTCAGTGTAGCTTACGTGGTCTACTTCTGCTGTGTAGTCTATACTCTTATTCTCTAACTGCCTGTATTTTGTCTTGCAGTAGCATGCTACATGCAGTTCTTTTTTCAGTGCCTTTATTTTGTTTATTATCAATAGGGAGTAATCTGACTGCGCACTTCTGTTGTTCTGGTGCTTGATCAAGCCTTCTACTAATCATTCTTTGAGATCCGTGACAATGGCTGTTTCTTAATATTGCAGCCCTCTGGAATGGAGTTGATTTTATGTACCAGCATTATGTTGTGCAATGTCGGTTCGTATATTTCATATGCACTATACAGTATTTCCAGCAGTACTGCGTTCTTCATGTCATGAGGAAAGCTCAATCATTGAGCTGAGCTCTCCTCAAGAAGCCGCCAATTGTGCAGCTACTAAAAAATTTCCTAGCACTTTATGGAACTCGAAGGTTCATTACCGTGTACACAAGGGCACTCCACTGGTCCCTATCCTGAGCCAGATCAACTCAATCCACACCACACCATCCCATTACTCTAAGCTATGTCCTAATATTACCCACCCACCTACGTCTTGGTCTTCCTAGTGGTCTCTTCCTTCTGACTTTCCGACCAATATCCTATATGGATTCTTCTACACCCCATTCAAGGCTCTTCAAGAGCCCCCGGTACCCTCTGGATAGGAGGTTTGTTGGCCCTCTTAAAGTCATTTATTCCTTTATAGAGATCTCGAATGTTCTTGTTCTTACTGCTCTTTGCAAGCTCGTCAATTTTGTCTTTCAGATATCCCCTCTTTTTTTCCTGAAATGCCTGCTGGTTTCACGTCTTATATTGTTCAGATTATCCCTATTTATTTCGCTTGGATCCTGTAAACATTGCAACTTGGCTTGTTTTCTTTGGTCTACTAATTTTGAGCATCCTTCATCGACCCATGGCTTATGCTTCTTCGGTTCATAATAACCTGGACCCTCCTTGGCAGACATTTTTATATTCTCTCTAATAGTTTCCCAAGATTTATTAACACCCACCCCAGTATCTGAGTTTTCCAGAGCTGCGAACCTACTTCAGGTTTCAACACAAGACTGCCCTTTACCCTCTACATCGTTTAATTTCTTGAAATTGAACCTCTTCTGTGCGTTGTTTGTTTGCTCACTGCCAGTTTTCCCTAACCTTTGCCACCACCAAGTAGTGGTCAGTATCACAATCTGCTGCCCTGAATGATCGGACATCAAATATACTTGAATGCCGTCTCCTGTCTATCAAAATAAGATCAATTTGGTTGTGCGTCTTCCCATCAGATGATGACCAAAAAAATTTATGAATGTTACGATGAGGCAACATTGTACTTTTGACAATAAGATGTTTGGAGGTGGCAAAGTTTACAACTCTGAACCATTATTATTACTAATTACTGTTATTATTATTAATTACTAATTTATTTCCCAATTCTTGGTTTCAAAATATCTTCCTTACCTACTTTGGCACTGAAAACTCCTAACAAAATTTTCGTACTGTAATTGGGGAATTTATCGAATACATATTCTACTTCTTCGCAGAATCTATCCTTCATATCATTAATTTTATCTTCTGTTGTGGTATGAATATTCAGAACAATGATATCACACCAGCGACCTCGTAGTGTTATGTATGACATCCTATCACTAATTAACACTACCCCCTTAACTGCTGATAGGATTCTCTTATGTACAAAAAGAATTTGTACCTAATTCACGATTCTCATTCCTTTCCATAGAAAAATGTATATTCTCCTGCTGGTGCGATACCACCTCCGTCCCATTTGACCTCCTGTACTCCCACTAAATATAACTTATATTTTGAGATTTCTTCCGCCACTGCCCTGAGCGAACCTGCCCTACACATACTTCTAACATTCCAAGTGCCAAATCTCATATCCATTTTCTTTCGCTCAGGTCGTTCATCCAAGGAATCTGTCCAGGTCCAAGGCATTTTGTGATCTTTCGCAACAAGCTTACTGTTTATGGTGAGGAGTTGTTAGCCCCACGCCCAACACCCAAGCTTGAGGACTAGCCCTTGTCGTCTGCACGCGACTGCTTATTCAATATACTCGCAGCTACCCTCCATATCTCGAGGATGTCTCCTCCAACCGCAACCTGAGGACGCGCCGTGCCGTTGCGACTAAGGACTCACCTAACATGGCATAACGAAAGAATCTCTTTTATTTTATTATTATTATATGCTGGGGTCATGCGATAGCGCAGTTGGTTTGAGGAATTATGCACAAACTGGAGTGCCGTGGGTTCAATTTCCGATGAGGTCATTGCATTTATCTAATCCTTCGAGACGCACTCTGGCCCTGGAGTCGACTCCGCCTCTGTCAGAAATGAGTACCAGAAATCATCCTGGGAGTAAAGAGCGGCCGGTGCTCAAGGCTGACAACCTCCCCGCCATATGTGAGCCGACTGTCTAGAAAATGTGACAGCCTCGACGTTTCACAACCCTATGGGCCTGTACTCTCTGTTAAAGAGATAGCTCTTTTTTACTGCAGTCATTATATGCTGAGTTATCAATATACCTTGGGCAACTTCCTATATATCGCAATAGTTATAGTAAGGATATGGGCGTACGTGGTATCGTCTTCGCTTTCTTTTCCAGATCCAAAGAAATTTCTAGGGTTAATTCGGACTGATGCGTTTGCCTTTCCCATCGCGGGCTGCTTACTGATGCTTTCGTTTCATATTGTAAAATCGAATCTTGAGTGTGCTTCTGTTGCTTGGAACACTATTATGGTTACTGAGTCCAATAAGTCTGAACATATACAAAGATAATTTGCTGCCCCTTCGCATGACGGAGCTTTTATAAATATCTACGATGATTTATTATGAAAGAGATAGAGGGGTCCGTCACCACAGAGATGAAAGGATTAATTCGTCTTACCTGAAAGTCGCTACGACTAAACATCGCAAGTGATGATGCTGATGATGATTAGAGATTAAATTCACAGACACTCCACTCTGATTCATTATTTTTAATAAATATTAATAATGAAGCTTACCGTTGCGCACCTGCTGTAAAAGCAGTCGTTATTCGTGTTTCCGCTCGGAACACACGCCGAGCAGTAGCGGAAGGTACGCGATTCGAATCTCGGCCGGGAAACTGCTGTCCTGACTGAACTTTATCGTGGTTTTCTGCAGTCAACAAGAGGGCCGACAGGATATTACCTTAATTAGGACAAGACCTCTTCCTTCTAAGTCCTGTCCGGTTCATCATTCTTGTACCATCCGACGCTATAAAGTCTTGGTACGGAAAAAGGGCGTCGTGAAATAAATTCATGGAAGAAAGGGAAAATGTACTCCGGCTATATACTTCTTCTGCTGATGCAGGTTTTAAATTGATAGATATTTTTTCGAAACTCGTGTTTACATTTAAACAACAACAAACGATTCAGTTTTTCTTTCGTTATTTGTTTGTTTTGCCCTTGTGTTGGCTTATTGCTGTTGATGCTATATTCGTGCTGACTCTGTACTTGGTCCCTGGCTGTTGCGTTCAGCATTAAAGAGTTAAACTATATTATTATTATTATTATTATTATTATTATTGCTATTATTTATAATATAAGAATCATCAAGGTCTATCTGCATTCCAAACGATTTTCATAAAGTTCTCGCTCACTAACTAATTCCATGCAGAAAGGACCTTCTGCAGAGGCTGATAATCAGCCAGCTATCACATTTTTTGGAACCCGAAAGCTCATTACATTATAATGGTGACTATAATTCGCCATTTCCCTCTATCCTAACAACTTAAATATAGTCCACATTCTTCATAATCCTTTTGAAAGCCACTCTTTCATCTATTCCTATATCTCCAAAGTTACTTATTTCTTTTATTTTAGCATTTTTCTTTATAAAATCGTTGAGAAGAATAGTGTACCACACACTTTCGAATGTTTGTACATTTTACTGTATCTGTCACATTTAATCTGTAGCTAATGGTATAAGAATTAACTTTGTGAAGGTGTTTATTAGTACTCTCTGTACCTGGCCAATAATGACGGAAGTCACACTTTATCTGTATGTTTTAGTTATGGTCTTCCATGAAACAGACAATCTGAGTGATACAAATGGTCCGAGAACCAGATACATGGAGACACAACAGTCCTGCGTCCCATGTAAGATTCCTCTTAGTGTAGGGAACGCTCTGTGAGGGCAAGAATTGCTGACTAATCCAAGTAATGGCAGTAAGAAGCCTGAGGGAGGTGATGTGCTTCACATAACAACTTCACGAGATGCAAGTTAACAAGTGGCATCACGTCCTATCAGTGAACTCGTCACGAGGCTCGACCATTTCAAGTTGCAAGCGTGCATTATTTGTTTAGAGTAATTTTCTTGTTCGTCCGGCGTCAGGAAATTCGAAGGTAATTATAAACGGCCAAGATTAAGCAACCCGAATCAGCTAATAATATATACAGGCGCATGGATGATGATGTATGAAGTGAAGAAACATAGCGTTGTCACGTGTATCAGTGACTATGGATTGAGACTCTTACAAACAGTAACTACAATTATTTAAAACCCTTTACTGACTCTCGCATTTTATGAATCACAGTAACACCTGCTAAGCCTTTTCCAGCCTGGTGTCTTTACCAGCAATTCCCTAGCAAATGATTTATAGTACAACACATATGAATGAAGTCTTATTTGCACAGCCCAGTTCCTTTCTTGTCATCTCTTCTCTGTCATCTTCGACTGCCACCTTAAGAGACTCCCTCAATTCTGTCTCAGCTGGCCTTGGATCCTCGTTATATAGCATCGGGGCGGATCCAACAGAAAACACTGCTTCCTAACAATTCCTCTATTGTTATCGAGATGTACTTAACTCACCGTTGCATAGAAACGGCAGTTCTTCTATACTTGCATGCGTGTTCATTTCTGCAGGAGTCTGTTTAACTAGTTGCTGCCTAGAAAGGAACGTCTTCTCTGGTTCCCATTTTCAGACGTCATGTCACAATATAATGAAATATAAAACCAAAGAAATTATCCACGGCGTTGCAATCCACGAGGCCATACTCTCAGAGCTGTGATCATAATAAAGAATAAATCTGAAATGTTTTACGCGCCAGTGAAGAAATTTTTCTAGAACTGAATGCAGATTAATAGAAGATATGAGAAAAAATCCTCAAAATTACAAATTTACAAAAGGGTCCATATAAAGAATCATTTGCAAATGACCGAAAAGTAACCAGAACAACAGAAATATACAATAGGAAACAAGATTTTAGAGGTACACAGAGAATATTTAACAATGCGTAATTGCAGAGAACGGCCAAAGGATCTTCCCTTATTTTTAAACAGCTCTTTACTGTTATATTAATGACACTATTTCAAATTTGCGGAAGTCAAAATTTATAGGGCTAATTGTGGTTTAATGCTTCTAGTTTTGTTACAGGTAAGCTGATTAGCTTTCCTTAGTTATGAGACAAAGGTGCTAATTTATAATACAACAAATAAATTCCATATTCATGGTGGAGTCTTAGTTTACGTCTGTTCAGTAGCTGCGGTTTGCCCTTGTGAAGGAGACAACATTTGTTTCTTAGCGTATTAATAGAACTTGACATTACTGACTTGCGTTTCACAGACGTCTACAAAATTTCCAAGTGCAGTTTTGCTGTTCTGCATAAGTCGTTGATTAGTAGGCCTTCTTTTCACAGAGATATACGCAATTTCTAAGCGCAGTTTTGCTATTTTGCAGAACACTTCGGTCTTGATTTTTATTTACTCCATGTAAATATCCACTGTTGCCGCACTAAACAAAGATAGCCCAATGTTGTATTCACAAATAGCTTCTGTCCTAGCTTCGTCGTGTTATACAGAAAAACGTTTCAAATGAACATTACTGACTTACTACTCACTCGTGGAACTGAGCCCTTCTTGAGAAGCCGCCAATTCTGCAGTTACTTAAGAATTTCCTACCATTTTATGGAACCCGAAGGTTCATTACCGTGATTACAAGAACCCTCCACTGGTCCATATCCTGAGCCAGATCAATTCAGTCTGTACCATCCCATCCAGTCTCTCTAAGATCCATTTTAATATTGTCCACCCACCTACGCCTTGTTCTTCCCAGTGGTTTCTTTCCTTCTGGCTTTCTCACCAATATCCTCTACGCATTCCTCGTCTCCCCCATTCGTGCTACATGCCCTGCCAACTTCATCCTCCTTGACTTGATCATTCTAATTATACTTGGAGAAGAGTACAAGTTATGACGCTCCTCATTATGCAGTTTTCTCCAACCTCCTGTCACTTCATCGCTCTTCGGTCCAAATATTCTTCTCAACACCCTGTTCTCAGACACCCTCAGTTTTTGTTGCGTTCCTCCCTTAATGTCAGAGACCAAGTTTCACAACCATACAGAACCACAGGCAAAATTATAGTTTTATATATTCTAATTTTTATGTTTTTAGACAGCAAATGAGAAGGCAAAAAGCTCTGGACTGAATCGTAGAAGCATTATATGAGATCAATCTCCTCTTAATTTCCTCCTGAATCAGGTTTGGATTTGTTGTCATTGTCCCCAAATATCTGAACTGTGCCACATTTTCAAAACATCTCTTTCCTATCTTTATGTCACGATTTTGCCCTGCATTTTGGTGACGAGACAGCAACATATACTTAGTTCAAATAAACATTCTAATACTCGTAGTAAATGTGGCCATGTACCGAGTCATTTGCTGGATGAGTCGATTTTGATAATCCAGATGGAACACTTTGAAACTCCATGGAGGCTAATGTATCCTATATTGTATTTTTATCAATGCGGACCAAACTTACATTCGCTAAGTATATTTCACTGAAGGCCCTCTTACTTTAGTTCGTGCCATGAATTCACAACCCAACATGATAATCTAAATTTTTTTAATTATTTAAATCACTGCTATAAGCTATTGCGATAGTTGTACCATTCTTGAACATTGTTAAATTCTAGGTACATGCTTCGATTCCCAACGTTTTCGATAGGTCGCCTGTGAGCCGTTTTATGGCCACGCTAATACTGGAGTCGATATTGTCAGCTGTAGGAGTGACTATGGACGGGGCTTGGATTGGTGAATAGATTTATTGGCCTTATACATTCGCACAACTCAGGACTACAAGTAATACAGAGCTATCTCTGATTTGCACACTTCACGGTTCTCAGTCTTCACTAGTCGTATCATGGCAACAGATTTATAACCATCTCACCGTAACTTCAAATCACACATGAAATGTTCTTTGCACATCTAAATTATTATCTTCTCAATCACCTTCGACTAACATCTCCAGAACTCGACCCATTACTCAACAGCTCCCTCAGACGACTTGCTTTGTACCTTTATAACACCTCGGCACGGACCATGCAGAAAACATAGCTTCTCTATTGTTAAGAAAGCTTATTCACTGATCCGTTGCCTAGTAATGGACGTCCTATTGTTGCGCTCGTAAGCTTCCGCGAGAATGTGTTTACCGAAACATTGCCTAGCAATGGGTTTATACGTCACAGTATTTTAAAAAACGATGAAAATTTGAGACCGGTGATTTTGAATTAGTCATACTGTGTAAGAAACTGGCCAGTCCCAGCATTATAATCTAAGTTTCGTATGAGTTTTTCAACGTTATCGTTTGGACATCAATTATATGCTTGAGTGGAAGCAAGTGCGTTCCGCAATAAGTTTCGGAAAATGACAGTTGGTTTTTACTTATTTGTTGGTTATTTAATGATGTTTCAGCAGCTCAGAGTGTATAGCGCCGTATGATATTTAGAAGTTATTAACATGTAAATATAAATTAAAAACTTATCTAGTCTCGGCTAGTTTTATAACCGCTATCGTCTAAACGAGAAGGTAGCAATATTGTGGCTCATACGCCCAATACTAGGCAACGGCTCTCTAAACAAATTCATGAAGCATAAGCTCTCAACAATATGATATCCACTGCTATGAAACGGGCCAATAAACATGCATTCATGACAATATAAGACGGTGTTTTCCGTGGGGCCCCTGCCGAGGAGTTATCTTGAAGGCAGTCCACGCTACAAGCAGTTGAGCTGAGGATTTAGCTGTGGAGTGTTAAACAACGGAAAAGGAAGAATCCGCAGTGCTAAGATTCGTTAGCAGGAAACGTAGAGTGAAGACACGGCAGAGGAATAACCATCGTGGAGAACTGTTGCCAAGTAAAGACTTGTGAAAATAGACTGAGAAGACGTAGTGTGGAGTGATTTGTGTCGTGGAAATCAGAAAAAAAATATAATAATTATTTGTAGTTAAGAGCAGTAACTGGTCAATAAATCTATTCACCAATCCAAACCTCGTCTATAGTCACTAATATACATGACAATATCATGTCTTGCTCTTTTTATGGTACGGTGCAACAGTGATTTTTTGAGCGGTTTAAAATAAATATAATATCGGTACAGAGTTTATTAATCTAAATTTAGATACTTGAAGTAATTACAGCATTAATTACGATTTCACACCGCGTGATATTCGACTTTAATAAAGAATCTCTCTCTGCCCATCCCAAGAGGTTACACAGTGAGCTTGCATTTTAATAGCCAACCAAGACACAAGTGGAACCAATTGATCGTAACGAAGGTGAAGAGCCTGAACTAGGCTACAATAGACTACAGCACCCGAGGTAAGTCAAGAACAGACGAGTGACGTATGAACGAGCCGACATCAACAAGCACCAGAAACGAAGAAAACAAAAGACAATAAACTTAATGCCAACCCAGCTTCATAATAAAGGAGCATCGGGAGCATTCCAGTCCAAATTTAAACCTCACCGGAACGGCTGCACGGATAGAAATGGCATCCTCTGTAAGAGTTCGCATTTGGATGCATACTTTTCCTATTTTTAATTACATTAATTAGACTTAAATTAATTAGTTTCTTTTGGGATTAATTAAATTATTGCGCCAGTCACCAAAATTAGTTCGAGTATTATGTTTTGGTAAGGTTATCCGTCAAAACAACAAAAATGGTTTTTTGTTGAAATAAATATTCTAGTTGCAGTTCAGTAACTTGAGTTTCTTATTCACAAATTTGTATATGCTAAAGACATGACTATCATGTACTATTTTCACAGTGTGCATCCTGTTGTGTGTCACGAACATATGTTTTGGTAAGGTTATCCGTCAACATAACACAACCATTTTTGTTGTGTTGTTGGATATCTTACCAAAACATATGTTCGTGACACACAACAGGATGCACACTGCGAAAATAGTTCGAGTGAGTTGGTCGGATTCTTCCACTTAGACGATTCTTAAATGAAATCTTGCATTTAGCTG